ATCCATTCCAAAGGTTTATCCTCTTTATGCTCTAATACCTGGAGGAAACAGTTTAGTGGGGAAAATAAGTTTAAAGGCAGTAAAGGTTCCACACTAAATACAAATACTTCTTTTAGTCTGAATTCAGATAGCTGTAGTTCTTTTGTCCAATGCATATCCTTCTAGAGTTTGAAATAGATTGGTAGTGCATGTAAACATTTTGATTTTGTTGAAATTGCACTGGAAATACTGAGCATCCCGCATTGGGGCTGGGGAGGAATTGATAGATGAATTCCGTTTCCCTGCTGTGTCCTAGCTTGCCTTGGTTGTAAACTTAGCATTTTCATAGCCTCTCCTAAATCCCTATCAGGAAATGGGGGGAGTATAAGATTAGATTGATTGTCAGATTCCTCACCGCATGCTTCCGGATCATCTTCAGGCAGTGGAGGAAACCTATCGAAAGGAGGCTCCAGTGAGGGAGCTGAGGGTCATCGCCAGCATAGTTATGGATGACCCTGTTTGTACTTTCAGTTTTGCCTGGGAAACTGAAACAGGGAAAAATCTACTTTTTTGCCCCTTTTACCAATTTTAAGATTTGATCATCCAGTTTATATTCATTCAAGGAACTATCCTTCTCTACCTTATGATTAATAGTCTCCTTATCTTCCTTAAGCATTTTTATAACAGTCCGAATTAATGCCCAAGTGACCAAAATTGGATGGGGATCTTTCCTCTTGTTTCTATGCCTTATTCAGTATTCTTTTGGACTCTGTCCTATACTCCTTCACCTAAAGTTCCTTCTTCTGGAAACCAGAAATACTTGCAAGCAATCTAATAGTTCTGATTTTAATACTTGCGCTCCTCCTCTCTTTAAAAAAGAGAGGTCGCCGGGCGGTGGTGGCGCACGCCTTTAATCCCAGCACTCGGGAGGCAGAGCCAGGCGGATCTCTGTGAGTTCGAGGCCAGCCTGGTCTCCAAAGCGAGTTCCAGGAAAGGCGCAAAGCTACACAGAGAAACCCTGTCTCGAAAAAAAAAAAAAAAACCAAAAAAAAAAAAAAAAAAAAAAAAAAGAGAGGTCGACATCAGGCAAAGCCTTCCCTGGTTTCTGTCCTGTAATTCTCACTTCCTTGTGTGAGCATCCCCACTCTCTAATCTTGTAGGGACTTCAGGTCCCTGTTCGAGCACCACTTGTCACTGCTCTAGAGGTGGTGAGATCTGGGAGAATGGAGCCCATAAATGAGGTGGACTAGAGCCAAACATTAGATGGAACTGGGGAATCCCACAGAATAGGAAGAGGAAGGATTGTAGGAACCGAACCACAAGGACACCACCAGAACACGGCCCACGAAATGAACTAACCAGGACTCCTAGGGGCTCACAGAGACTAAAGGGACAGTCAGGCAGCCTATGTGGATCTGACCTAGGTCCTCTGCATATATGTTATGGTGTATACGAGCAGGGGGCTGTCTCTAACTTTTGCCTGCTTTAGGCACCCTTTATCCTCCTCCTGAGTTGCCTTGTTTGTCCAGCCTTGCCAAGAAGGTATGTGCTCGTCTTATTGTAACTGTTAGGCCGTGTCTGGTTGCTATCCCTGGGAGGCCCGCTCTTTTCTGAAGGAAAATGGAGAAGTGGATCTGGGGAGGAGAAGAGGAAGGAAGGGAAACTGCGGTCGAGATAGAATAATAGAATATATGAGAAAAGGATGAACATTGGAGGTGGATGAAAGTCTCACTGCAGTGGCCCACTTGATTTCAGAATCTCAGACAGTTTCCTCTCTGAGGGTTAAGAGGATTCACGTGAGTGAAGTGTCCAAACACAAGGGCAAGCTGCACATGGCAGACAAGCTGCATGTGGCTTCTGGGAGTGGGTTCCAACACAGTATAGACAAAAACTTCTTTAGTGTGTTTTTTGTTGTTAGTAGTGGTGGGGTTTTCTTTGGGGTTTTTCTTTGTTTTTTGTTGTTTTTTGTCTATTTTTGTCCCTAAATCTCAAACTAAAAGCAATAATCATGCTTAAACATCAAAAGCATTTTAGGAGCCTTAAAAACAAGATCCATGTACAGCCATCACTATTTAATCTTTTATTATTTGAGTCCTAGTTGATGCAAATAGAAAGGAGCCGTTGGTATTGGGAAAATACAGTAAAACTGTTTCCTTGGAAACTGTAGAATCAACTGGAAGACTTATAGGAAATAATCCACTAATGTCATAGCTTGCAAAAGTAAAGCTCTGCTTAGGTATGGGTAACCAGTTAGAGAATATGGTCCAAGGAGCCTATTTATATCCCCAAGAAAAGGAGCTAGAAACCTGGGGGGAAATGTACACTAAGGTGGTGTGGTGGCACATGCAGGTCCCAACTACTCCAGTGTTAGGACAGGACTGCTTGATCACCCACCCGTTCAGTGCCAGCCCAGAAACCCCGACAACCTATCTAAGAAGGAAGGCAAATACCAGCATATGCCTGTGTCTCGTTCCTTCATGAGATTTAACGTTTTCAACACATCAGCTACCACCCAAATCCATCGATAAACTTGAAGGCATTTCTCACCAGAATGTCAGATGTCAGGTATTTTGTTCTTCTCTCTCTCTCTCTCTCTCTCTCTCTCTCTCTCTCTCTCTCTCTCTCTCTCTCTCTCTCACACACACACACACACACACACACACACACACACACACACACACACACACAGAAAATTAACCATGAAATTCAGGGACATCTGAAGAAAATACAGTGTAGCTAGCACAACTGTCTGCTTAAAATGTAAAGGTATCCTAGTTAAATGTGAGAGCTACTTGCAGATCAGAAGTCCTGTACCTGTGAGAAAATTGCATATAGTGCCTGGTCAGCTAGAGTCAGGCTACATGTGTGTTTGAACCTCTTCTCTGCTTAAACAAGTTGACCTGTGAGCTGGAGTGACAATAAAATTTGCATTGTAGAGAACATCCCTGTTCGCAGTAAGCATTCAGTAAATACTATTTTTAGTGGTAGCACAAGTGTTTTAAAGGTAACTTGTCCCATTAATTGAGAAGGAGTGGGTTATTTATTTATTAACTCAGAAGAATTGAGAAATAGTAAACACATTAAACCATAAACATACTCAACTTGTTGATCATAAAATTGAGACATCAAAAGTAGAAACACCTCTCCCAGCTTGGGCTTAGGTTTTGGTGGCATGGCCAAACACACCAAGAAGGTAGGGATTGTCGGGAAATATGGGACCCACTATGGTGCCTCCTTCTTGAAAATGGTGAAGAAAATTGGTATCAGCCAGCACACCAAGTACATCTGCTCCTTCTGTAGCAAAAGCAAGATAAAGGGATGAACTCTTGGCATCTGACACTGTGGTTCCTACATGAAAACAGTGGCTGGCGGGGCCTGAACCTGCAACACTACCTCTGAGGTCACAGTGAAGTCTCCATCAGAAAACTGAAGGGACTGAGAGACCAGAAGTGCTACTGTTTGAGACTGCCTAGCCTCTAACAAATGAGTTCATTTACATAACAAAAACCCAAGCAGAGACAGATGAATAAATACCATTAAGAGAGTTAAAAGGGCCTTTGCAGAAAGTTTTTGTCTCACGGTACAGCTTTCTTGCCATCTAACAAAATGGTTTGGTAGAGTGATGTATCACTAAGTGTTAATGACAAGGGAAAAAGAGAACCTGTTTTCTTCTAGTGATACACAAGGACTAGCAAATTCAGGACTGAAAGTGACATCGGGGGTCGGTGACCAGAAAGGAATGGAAGTGTATCTTGTTTGTAGTGGGCCAAGCTTAAGGTGAACACTTACCTTTGCACTTTATCCAGTGTTGATTATACTTGAACTTGAAAATTGGTACGGGGTGGGGTACCACATAAACCAGACATCATGGCAGGAGGCTGGGAAATTCGAGGTCATTCTCTGTTATAGATCAAGTTCAAGGCCAGCCTGATATACAGAAGATCCTGTCTCAAAAATAAATATATAAATATAGATTGTCTGGCATGAACACTTGCCCTGGATTCCCTGTCTAATACAGTAATGCAAGTGGTCCATTCAGTGATGGCAGAGGAATCACAGGAAGTGAATATAATTGGGGCCTTGGGTTTAAAAAGATGGTTAATCTGTCGTGATTTAAAGCAGGTTATAAAGCTTTGGTAATATCCAGAGGTTTCGTTTGTTTGTTTGAAGTTTAAAGGATACAGCATAAATTTGCATAGGTTGTGCTAGGTAGATTTAGGTAAGCTTGCATGTTTGACTCTATTCTACTTCTGGTGCTTTTTCTTGATTATACATAGTTAGACTTGAGGAGAGATGAGTGTATGTTTGCTATGCCGGTGCTCAAAAGAACCTATCCAGCCACAGTCAGCATAACAAGTAGCATTATACAGACAGAGCAGCTTACATTTAGGAATATATATGTATATACACACATACATGTAACAATAATTGGTTTTTAAAAGAGACCATGAATTTAAAAGAGCAAGAAGAGGTGTATGGGAGGGCTTGGAGGAAGGAAGGGGGAGATTAATTATAATCTCAAAAATAAAATGTTTAAGAAGCTGAGCAAGTCAGTAAACAGCATTTGTCCATGGCCTCTCCTTCAGTTCATAACACTTGGATCCTGCCTTATTTCCCTCAGTGATGGACTATGACCTGGGAGTATAAGATAAAATATACTCCACCCTGCTGTCAAAAAAAAAATCAAAACGTACCATAAATTGTGGTTCAAGCTGAGCTGTAAAGTCTACACTTGGTCATATGAGAGATTCAAGGAGTTTCTACCAAGGATCTCTTGGCGATGCAGGATCGCTTAAACCCAGGAGTTTGAGGTTAGCCTGGACAGTGAGAACCCACTGGTAGATAATTCAGTCCTGACAAGAATCAAGTTGGTATGGTCATCTCAATTTTAATAGAAAAATTTTCCTATATAGAAGAAAACATAAATGAGAAAGATTCCATGTAAGTAAAATGTATACACAAAAAATTCTTTCTAAAATGTATAAAATACAAATACTAATTTTGAAATTTTCTTTTTTTAGGAAAATGTCAGATGAATTTTCGGTAAGTTGAACCTTGCTAAGTTTTCTTTTCTTTTCTTTTCTTTTTTCTTTTAAGGAGAACATGATATTGCCTGGGAAGGTGGTATACGCTTGTAATGTCAGCTCTATAGAGATTGGGACAGGAAGCTTGTGAGTTCCAAGCAATCTTGGGCTATTCAGTGAGACCCTGTCTCCTTATAAATAGTGGACAACTTCAAACAAAATAAACCACATGGTCCTAACTGTAAGGCATCTATGGCTTTTTAACTTAAAAAGATACACGCTTGGACTTTAGGCATATGATTTTTTTTTTCAGATTTATTTTTATTTATGTATGTGTATAAGTGTTTGTCATAGTAACTCCAGTTCCAGGGGTCCAATACCCTTTGGCCTCTACCAGCTCCAGGCATGTGTGTTATTTGTATAAACTCATGAAGGCATGCATGAGTTTGCTTTCATGTTGCTGTGATAAAGAGCATGACAGAAAGCAACTTGGAAGGAGAAGCTTGCCCTCATCTTGGAGCTCACAGTCCGTCATGAAGGGAGGCCAGGGTAGGAACTCAAGGCAGGAACTAGAACATAAGCCATGGAGGGACACTGGCTTGCTCTTTGGAGTCACATTCAGCTGCCTTTGTTATATTTCTCAAGACCACCTTCCCAGGCATGGTAGTTACCACAGTGGGCATTAATCAAGAAAATGCCTCACAGGTTTGCCTACAGGCCAGTCTTACAAAAGCATTTTCTCCATTGGAGTTGACTTTTCTGAGGTGGCCCCAGCATGTGTCGAGGTGGCAAAACAAACCAACCAGCATGCACACATACATAAAAATAAGTTGTTTTGTTGAGGGTCCACTTGGGCTACATGAAACCTTGTCTCAAAAATAATGTCTTTTACTTTAAACTGTATTTACAACATTACATAAATTGCCTCATTTAATGCAGAACTTAACCCCAAAACTGTTCTTGAAACTGAAAAAGTAAAGGTTGAGAGTCGAGTGTAGAGATCGTATCCTGTCCTATTTACCATACTGCATTCTATTTACAGTGCTCAGAAATGAAACACAGTAGAACTAGCTGTATTTAGATAAGTTGAGCTTTGGAGAATTTGCACTGTGAAGTTAATGTTCAAGATAACACCTCAAGTGCTTTTTTTAAGATGAGTAATTTAGTCTTTGAAGGTGCCACTGGGGCTTGTAATCCCCGGGTATTGTGTGTAGTTTGTATGGGATTATCGCCATTTTTGCTTTGACTTGCCCCTGGATAAGACAGATAAGACATATCTATTTTGTATTCCAGTTGGCAGATGCGCTGCCTGAACCATCCTCTGCCAAAACGTCTGCTGTGAGCAATACAAAAGCTGGCCAGTCTCCTCAAGGCTGGCCAGGCTCCAACCCTTGGAGTAACCCAAGTGCTCCACCTGCTATGCCATCTGGACTCCCACCAAGTGCTGCAGCACCCTCCACTGTGCCTTTCGGACCAACACCAACAGGAATGTATCCCTCCATGCCTCCAACTGGACTACCGCCAGGACCCCCAGCACCCTTTCCTCCTTCTGGACCATCATGTCCCCCACCTAGTGGTCCTTATCCAGCCCCTACTGTGCCGGGTCCTGGCCCCACAGGGCCATATGCTACGCCAAATATGCCCCTTCCGGAGCTACCTAGGCCATATGGTGCACCCACAGATCCAGCTGGTACTTTAGGTCCATGGGGATCCATGTCTTCTGGACCTTGGGCACCAGGAATTGGGGGGCAGCATCCTAATATGCCATATCGATCTCCAGGGCCATATCCCACTCCTCCTCCTCCAGTGTCAGGAGCACCGCCTGTTCCATGGGGCACTGTGCCACCAGGAGCCTGGGGACCACCAGCACCATATCCTGGCCCTGCAGGATCATATCCCATACCAGGACCCCATCCTGTTCCAAATAATCCTTACCAAGTGCCTTCAGGACCTTCTGGTGCTCCACCAATGCCTGGTGGCCCCCATGTAAGTGTTGCGCTTGTTATTGACAATGTAGTCAAAGTCACATTGAGAAACTGGGAGAGTATTCTAAGTGACAGAGTAGAGAAGTTCTAATACATGGTTGTGAATTTATACACTGAGTCAATGTAAGCACTTCGGGTTCAGGTGCAGCATTTCAAAGAGCAGAAGTATTCCTGCTATTAAAAAAAGCAAGGGAAGATCTCAGAGATCCCTAAAGACATTGGACTATGATGAGCAGTATGCTCCTCAGGACCCTTAGATGACTGAGACGCATGTCTTGGGCTGTGTTGTTGGGCAGAGCGGCTGTTTTACAATTCTTGGTGTCCTTTTACTGCATCACATCAAAGAGCAGCTCGAGAAAACGCTTGTCTGGGTTGATGGAGAGAACATGGGGCACTGAGTAGATAATAGATACTGCCCATGTCACACAGTTCTCCCTGGGGTTTTTGTTTTGTTTGTTGGGTTGGTTGGTTGGTTGGTTGTTTTTGGTTTTTTGTGTTTGTTTGGGGGGTTTTTTAAGACAGAGTTTCTGTGTAGCCTTGGCTGTCCTGGAACTCACTGTAGACCAGGCTGGCCTTGAAGTCACAGATTCTCCTGCCTCTGTCTCCTGAGCACTGGGATTAAAGGCATGCGCCACCACCGCCTGGTCCCCTCCCTGGTATATTTGAGCCTGGCACTACGCCACTATTCTTAGAAAGCAGTCTGTTAACTACTAAACCACCAGATAAGTAAGCACATCTCTACATTGAGTAATTAATAACCATCTCAGCTCTGAAGACAAACATTCTTAGTAAATTTCTTCCGGGATTTCATTAGTACAATTTCTTGCTATATTCTCTCCCCGACGCCCCCCCTCCCATTTTTTTCTTGCAAAGTATGCCACAGCATTCTTGATGTTTGCATTTATTGTATAGTAAGTTTATTTTAAGCCACCATAAAGTTAATAACTACATGTACTGATTATATGTGGGAGGCACAGAGGTCGTTGTGCTCACAGATAAGCACTAGGGGAACCAGGAATGTTAAACACACTGGGTTGTCTCTTCAACAGGAGAGACATATAACCTGTGTTCTGCCCAGAAGACTGGGAGCAGACGTGGTTAATAGCCTGGTGACCTTTGCGCTATCTGAGTGGCCAAGGGCCATGCTGAGATGTTTCTCAGCCATTGAATATTTTAACTGATTGTGCATGTTGTGTTCAAACTGTTCTCTGTTAGAAACTGCAAGACTTAAACCTATGCCCACTACTGACGTTACTTCACAGTTATTTCTCTCCCTTCAGCCATCTATATGACAACGAACTCAACCTTGTGTTATAACTTGTATCCATGCTCATTCTGATTTACCAGGTCCAGTAACATCTACTAGCGCTCAAGCTAATGTGCTGGCTGCCTCCTCATCCCTAATTCTTTTCAGGTCGCTCAGAACGCTCATGAACTTCATCAAAATACAGAATCTTTGCAGGTGTAATCCTCTACCTCGTGACCAAGCTCAGCAGATCATCAGAACCTGTCCTTGTTAAATTCTTTCACCCCACTGCTATCTGCTAAAGGAATTAATTCCTGAGCGTTGAAATCTAATGCCATTTGGCAAACAGATATACTCTTCTCTCAGAATTTGGACGTCTAAAATATATTGAAACTTTTTCTAATGTGATTGTTGTTTCTGCTCACAGGGGTGAAACAACCTTGGATGCCATTGTTCATTTATTATATACGTTTTCCTCTCTAGGACTCCCATTGCAATTAAAAACTGATAATGGTCCTGCTTATACCAGCAAATACTTTAAAGAATTTTGGAATTTATGGAATAGTAATAATGTTACTAGAATCCCTTATCCACAGGGTCAAGCTGTTGTGGAACAACACCACCAGGTACTTAAATGGCAAATTTTAAAAGTAAAAAGGGGGTATAGACACTCACCTAAATCCCCACACAGTATGCTACATGTAGCTCTACTAACTTTAAATTTTTTCACTTTAAAGGATAATATTTCTTCTGCTGCCCCAAAGCATTTTGCCGTAAAAGAGACACAGCCTAAAGTATAGGTTAAATAGAAAGCTCTAGAGGCTAATGAGTGGAAGGGCCCAGTGTTCATCTAACATCAGGGGCAAGGTTATGCTTGTGTTTTTCTAGAAAGTCAATGAAGTTCCAGGTGGCTCCCATTCTGATGTATCTGACCAGGAGAGCAGCCCAGAGTCCACTGGACAAATGAAAGTTCTCAAGGTAGACAAGAAAGCTATCAAGAAGCGGAATCCCAAGAGGAAGAATTGTAAGCCAATAACTTGGGGAGACATCAAGAATTTAACTCAACAAGCTGAGACCTTGGGGAAAGAACAAGGACACAGTACAACTGACCCCAAAATGATGCTGTTATGTTTAATGGCTATATTACATGTTAATTCTCAGCGTGACCCTTCAGATCCCAAATGACTTTTTGTTGAGGGAGGTAAAGGTATACCTGTAATAAACAGTATGATGTTGTTTTGCCATGCTAAGGATTATTTAATTCTTTGGGACCAGTTGTCTGGACAAAAGAAGATATATAAATATTTAGTCACATGAATGGAGGATATATTGGTTGGACTAATCAAAGAGATCAGTCCAAATGGAATAATTCAGATTTTAGCATAACTAAGTACTCTTTCGAAAGCTCTGAGAGTGGAAATTATAGTTGTATGAAGATTTTAAAAAAGGAATTTCTGATGTATTGCTTACTAGAGTTGATATTATTGTACCTAGAATAGTGCTATCTGTTGCCAATGGCTTAGAAAATAACCTAGCTTCATTTGGTGCGTATCAGTCAACAAGACCAATCTTTTTGTACAGAGGAGACCCGTCTATCCTGGGCTCTTAAAAAGAAATTTATATAACATAGAAGTTACTCATGCATTATTCACAAATAACAGAGGATAAAATAGAATCTACCAATGCCAATATTCATAGGGCTCCCCCTGACAGTCCTGTCAGTAGTGGATTTTTGTTTGTTTTTGGTTTTTTGTACATTGTTTCTGCTTTAAATGTACTTCTATCCCTCCTTATTGCAATTTCACGTCTAATCATACTCTTCCCTCTGGTAAACAACTGCCTTTTCGATGGACGCTTTTTTAATAATGCAAATGCTGCTTGTAATGACCTTCCCGCGGGTTGTAAAGGTTTATGTGGGAGAGGCCATATTACATCCATTTTGTTCAGTAGATCTTTGCAATCGATAATAGAATAGAGAGCTCTTCCTGAAAATTGTGATGATTCTATGCGTCTATTGCATCCTGTGGTAGTTACAGCCACTAGAGCTTTTTTATTACCAGTTCCAGAAGTGATTACTGTAATACAAGGAGAGGTCTCAAAGATAGCCTGTCTGATTAGTAAAACTACTAATATTACAACAAATATGTTAGCAGAAAATTTGTCAGAGATGGGTGAATTGAGAACCACAGTTTGACAAAATAGAGCTACCATGGATTATTGTTGCTCAGATATAATCATAGTTGTCAATAATTTTCTGGGATTTGTTGCTTTAATGTATCAGATTTTTCTCATACTATCATTGATAAAATTAATGATTTGCATAGAGATAAAATCTCACAGGTGACCTTTGAATGGCTGTCATGGTTAAAATAGCGTTCCTCTTTCTTTGGTCCTCTGTTGGCTATTCTTATAATTCTGTTATGCTTGCCTATATTAAACTAGCCATGCAAACAGTGCATTTAACCTTGACCACAATTTTTCTTTAAAAATTAAAAAGGAGGAGATGTGAAAGCGCTAGGGGAACCAGGAATGTTAAACACACAGGGTTGTCTCTTCTAAGGAGGAGATGTATAACCTGTTTTCCACCCAGAAGACTGGGAGGAGATGTGGTTAATAGCCTGGTGACCTTTGCGCGATATGTGTGGTCAAGATCACACTGGGTCCTCCCCCAGACGTTTACCGTGAACTTGTCAATCTGTAAGATTCATCTTTATGTAAGATGTCATATGTACTTTACAGAGTGTTTCTATGTACTCCTGTCTTAAGCGTCATTGTACACACGGGACTGAGTTATTTATCACCAGGAAATCTTTCACCTAAATTGCACTGTACTTAAGTATGCCTAAAATAAACTACTCAGGTTCAGACTCCAAAGTTTGAACCAGCTACTGAATCCTGTTGAACTGAGCTGTCTTGCCTCTGCAGAGTGTTACTTGTCACCGCTGCATGTGGCGGAGGAAGCCACACGTGATGGGCAGTCTGCATCTGGCAGACAGCCACATGTGGTAGGTGAGCTGAATGCAGCAAAAACATGTTTTTCCATAGAGGCATATGATTAACAACAGCTGAAGTCAATTCACTCCTATCCACTACGCCTGGGAGGGGTATGAAAGCATATTCCAAACAGTTCTGTGTCTTTTAAGACATTGAGGCCACAAGACTTGTCTCACTTCTTGGAGTTTTCTCACAAGCACTCAGAAATCTCTCACAAGACTCCAGTCTTGCACCATGCTTTGATGTCTCCCCCTTTTTGGTTTTTGTAACTCAAGATATCCAGGGTGCTGTAATTTTGAGATGTTGTAGATAAATCTAATTATTGTTTGATGCATGAGTATGCTATAAGCAAACAAATTATAACTATAATAATATTAAAACAGTGAAAAACATTGTGTGTAATACTCTGCCACGAAGAACAGAGATCTAGACTATGTCCAGTACTATTGGTTACAATATATTGATCATGAAAATCTAGAGAGTAGCTTGAAAAGAGACTCGTATAATTAGTAGTTATGGTATCTTATAGAATTTTAATAGGAACATAAATGTTATAATGCCCTATGCAGATAGAAAGTGATTTAAATCTCTAGGAAAATTAAATGCAGTCCTGTATTCAGATGAATGAAGGAGTCTATTACAGTCCCGTGGTCCAGGCACAAACACAGGGTCATTAGTAAAGATAACAGGAGCTGGATCTGTTCATCTACAAGTTGAAGCAGAGGAGAATGAGAAACATAAAACCAATACCTGTGCTCAGAGGCACTCACTGCAGATGCCCAGGTCAAAGCAGCTAGCATCGCCAGAAAGCGATTCTCGGGTGGCCTGGAGCTCTGTGTGTTGTAGAATAACCTCTCCCATGGTGCATAGGGCTTTAACTTGCCAGGTGGGCACATTTGACTTCTGGTGTATTGCTCAATATCTTTTGCCCTTTAGCTGGAGGCCCTCCACCATCATCTCTGATGGTCCAGGGCTGGAGGAGCCAAAGAGGAATTCACAATGTTTTGAGGGATCCGTCAGCAATGACAGACTCATATCCAATCCTGATTTTTTTTTTTCCCCAGCCACCTAGGCTTCCAAGTCTCGAATTATTTAAGCCACACAGGCCCATCTAAAGGCAGTTGAGAATGTTCTATAGAGAAATGTTTTTGAGCTCTTCTAAACATACCGCCTTGAGGCAATTTTTAAAAATTTAACAGTAAATAAAGTGCAAGAATATCCTTTGGTGCTCCTGTTTATTGTTTAGTAATTCGTTTTATGTTCTTTCAATTATGCCTTGGCAAGAGTGCCTGTAATATGATTAATACTCATTCCTTCTAGAAGTTAATTTTTTTCCTACTGTAGGCTGGTCCATTGTCAGTTTAGTAGGCACTCCCATAACAGCAAAAGTTTGTGTAAGAGAAGAGCATACTGCAGAAGCATTCTCTGAAGACTGAGGTACAGCCCAGAGAAATTTAGAGTTCTGTGTCAATCAGATGTGCAGGTACTACATCTTTAAAAAAGGGCCATTGAGGTGTCCAGAGAGGCTTACTGGATTTCCGTGTCATTTTTAGAGGTGGCATTTCTTTCAATGACCCCTGTGAAAAACCCAATCGTGTTCATGATTTTGCCCTTGTGGGAAGATAGGTTTAATAATTCCCTGCAACTCTTTGCCTGGCCCTTTTCCTTGTTGCTGTCCTGTTCTTTTCATTAGCCATTGCTCCTATGAATAGGTGGCATTAGAGGTGGAATAAAGATCTCATTAGTTTGTAAAAAGTCTCTTCCCCAAAGATGAATGGGAGCATCAGTAACATAAAGCTGTAGGACTACTATTATACTTTCTGTACTTACACATTTTAATTTTGTACCACTTTGTTTAATCTTGTTAGAGCTCATAGTTCTCAACTCTAGGAGGGTTTAATTTACTTCCATAACAGGCCATTTGGAGGCCATTCTATGTTATAATACAGACATCAGTCAGCTCCAGAATCAATCCTGTAAAAGGCTTTCCTGTTATTTTTAAGTCCAGTAATGGTTTATCATAAAGTGCTTAAAACTTCAGTTTTATCTGTAGTGCCAAATTCTTCCTCTCGAAGCACATTTTTCTGTGAAATGGCAATTATGCAATTGTTTTCTCCTACATTAATTTGCAGGTCATTGGGCGCTGTGATCATGACTGCAATTTCCTGTATATAGTCCTCATCAATGACTCTTCTATGAACTATTATTCCTTTCATGAATAAACTGCAACATTCAGTATAGGTCCCCAATATCCTTTAAGTAACTTAAAAGGACACTGAAGAAGGGAAATGGGAATTTTTTTTTCATTTTTACTAAGAAATTTTCTATTCATTTTACATACCAGCCACAGATCTCCCTCTCCTCCCGCCCCCCAGCCTTTCTCCCCAACCCACCCCCCATTCTCACCTCCTCCAAGGCAATGTCTCCCATGGGGAGTCAGCAGAACCTGGTGCATTCAGTTGAGGCAGGTCCAAGCCCCTCCCCCTTGCACCAAGGCTGTGCAGGATGTCCCACCATAGGCACTGGGCTCCAAAACAGCTCATGCACCTGGGACGGATCCCAATCCCACTGCCTGGGGGTCCCCTAAACAATTTAAGCTAAACAACTGTCTCACCTATCCAGAGGGTCTAGTCCAGTCCTGTTGGGACTCCACAGCTATTGGTCCACAGTTCGTGAGTTTCCACTGGTTTGGCTGGCCGTCTGCATACGTGGGAAATGGGAATATCTTTAGGGCAAGGAATAGCAATAGCAGCTCTTCCTTGAGTAGTAGTTTATACCGAAAAAATAGATGTTTTACAGTTTGAAGTTGGCACAAATGTTACTGCTTTTTTACTTTAATCCTCTAATCTCCTTGTTGACTGGTATTGTCATTGTTACTAGGCAGTGTATTTCCATCCTTATCAAATTTAGACCAGCATTCCTTAGCCCAGTGTTTTTCTTTATTGTGTTTAGGGCATAAGCCAGGAGCTCCTAGATTCTGAGTGTTCCTTTGTTAAGTGGCCAGGTCAGCCACAATTGAAACATTTTGCTGAGGTCTTTGTTTGAAGGGCATGGGTTTCAAAAGCAGCTAATTTTGCTCTAAGTTTGTAAGTCCCCACATTTCTCAGGACTTGAGAAAGTCTATAACATTTCCTATCTCTCCATGAGGTCTAATTATTCATTGGTGATCTTCACTGGCATTATCAAAAGTCAGCTGTTTAATGATAATGCTTGAACTTGTTCCCTTTTTACTTGTTTCTCAATGACATGTTTGAGTCTCCCTTTGAAATCAACATAAGGCTCAGAGGAACCTTATGTGATTTTTTTATATATATATGTATAACTAGACCCAGAGTCAGATCCCCTATCAGTTTTCATCCAAGCAGCCAGAGTTATGTCCCTAATGTGGGAGAGCTGTTATCCAACTGATGGTCTGTTGCTCCAGTCCCTATCAGCATATCAGGAGACATTTCCCAGATCACCCCTCAGTCCTGGTTGCCAGACTTTTTCATGGGCTTCATCTCTAAGCCATATTTGCCTTTGGAGAAATTGGGAAGGGCTTAGAACCATTTTAATAATTGCATGAAAATCATAAAGCATCCTTGTGCAATAATGCTCTAACCAAAAAGATATTCATATCAATATGGAGCAGTAGGTCCATAAGAAGTACAAGCCTCTTTAAAATCTTTATATCCATGTTTGATCCCTGATAAACATTTTGATTTTGCTGAAATTGCACTGGAAATACCAAATGCAGCCATGAGTCTGGAGAATTGATAGATGAATTCCGTTTCCCTGCTATGTCCTAGCTTGCCTTGGTTGTAAACTTAACATTTTCATAGCCTCTCCTAAATCCCTATCAGGAAATGGGGGGAGTATAAGATTAGATTGATTGTCAGATTCCTCACCGCATGCTTCCGGATCATCTTCAGGCAGTGGAGGAAACCTATCGAAAGGAGGCTCCAGTGAGGGAGCTGAGGGTCATCGCCAGCATAGTTATGGATGACCCTGTTTGTACTTTCAGTTTTGCCTGGGAAACTGAAACAGGGAAAAATCTACTTTTTTGCCCCTTTTACCAATTTTAAGATTTGATCATCCAGTTTATATTCATTCAAGGAACTATCCTTCTCTACCTTATGATTAATAGTCTCCTTATCTTCCTTAAGCATTTTTATAACAGTCCGAATTAATGCCCAAGTGACCAAAATTGGATGGGGATCTTTCCTCTTGTTTCTATGCCTTATTCAGTATTCTTTTGGACTCTGTCCTATACTCCTTCACCTAAAGTTCCTTCTTCTGGAAACCAGAAATACTTGCAAGCAATCTAATAGTTCTGATTTTTTTTTTTTTTTTTTTTTTTTTTTTTTTTTTTTTTTTTTGAGACAGGGTTTCTCTGTGTAGCTTTGCGCCTTTCCTGGAACTCACTTGGTAGCCCAGGCTGGCCTTGAACTCACAGAGATCCGCCTGGCTCTGCCTCCCGAGTGCTGGGATTAAAGGCGTGCGCCACCACCGCCCGGCTATAGTTCTGATTTTAATACTTGCGCTCCTCCTCTCTTTAAAAAAGAGAGGTCGACATCAGGCAAAGCCTTCCCTGGTTTCTGTCCTGTAATTCTCACTTCCTTGTGTGAGCATCCCCACTCTCTAATCTTGTAGGGACTTCAGGTCCCTATTCTGGGCGCCACTTGTCACTGTTCTAGAGGGGTGGGACCTGGGAGAATGGAGCCCATAAATGAGGTAGACTAAAGTCTCATGCAATAACCACTATATTTATTTAGAGCCTCCGACATTTTATATTTTGAGGGTCAAGAGTTTTCGCGTGAGTAAAGTGTTCAATCACAAGTGCAAAGCACGCGTGATGGGCAAGCTGAACGCAGCAAAAACGTTTCTCCATAGAAGCACATAAATGAATAACAATAGCCAGTTGTGATGAATGATCTGAAGTAAACTCACTCCTGTCTGGTGCATCTGGGAGAGACACAAAAACAATCCACCATCAATTTTATTGAAGAAACTGAGGTCACAAGACTTGTCTTAATTTCTTGGAGTTTTCTCACGAGCACTCAGAAATCTCACATGACTCCATTCTTGTACTGTTCCAACAGTTGTTTTGTTCTGCTGGCTGTCGTGTTCACATAGACACCCACACACCATTCTAGAAATTGATTTTTTTTCCCTTTTTTTCTGTTGCAGTACCATTAAGTTGACAGTGGATGAAGAGATGGCGCATTGCTTTTTGAAGTACATGTACATGCACATGAAGGCTTATATACAAATGGCTGGTTTCGCTATTGGTGAAGGACGTTCATGAAAGAACAACTTTTGTACCTCAGAGAGTTCCTGCTTCATGTGTTTGGATATGTAGAACATCACATGGGTACAATCAGATAAAGTTGTAAAAGCAAATCAAGTGTGGTTAATGTGGCTGTGTATATCAAATAGCTTTTGATAATACTTGTTTAAAATATAGCTGTACCCTCAATCTAAAATGACATGGATTATTGTTAGAATCTGTAACTTAATTGGCAAAGTAATTCAAGTATTGTTTTATAATCATCCTGCACTCCCATATAACTGAAAACAGTCACTTAATTGAAACATGACTCCTCAACATTTTGAGGTCCTCTACCTACACAAACCAGGACCTCTTGTTATATTTTAGCTACATAAATGTATTGTGTATGTGTTTACTAAGTTTAATTCAACATTATTCCCAGTTCTGCCAAAATAAGATAATGTTCCTATCAAAATTGCATTATGATCTAAGAACAGGTTTCTTGCTCTGACAGAGCTCTAGAAAAATGTTGGTGCCAAATGCACTTAAACAAGTTTTAAGGTTTAATACAGGAGTCAGACTGTCCAGCCTCGGGAAGGTAGGAAGAGGAGATGAGTGAGGCAGCTGCTGCTGGGCAGTCACTGTTGCAGGGCCTCCTGTCCACCCAGCTGTGTAAGCCAGCAGCTGGAGCTGGGAACTCAGCGGACAGCAGGGCCAACACAGGGATGTCCTTGACCATCTGATTTGGAATTCGCAAGTCATTTTTTTCTTAAAGCATTTACAAAAGGTGGTCCATTTCCTTATAAGTTAAGTTACTGGCTGGACTAAATAAACATCATTTATGACATTTTTTAATGGAAAAAAAATGTTCTGAATTCCAAATGACATTTCTCATAATGACTGAACCACAACCCATTTGAGTTGTTCCAGAATTGCACATGTAATTAATACATGTTGCTTGGCCGTAGTATACAGGACAACTGGAGGTGAAACTCTAGTTGACAAAGCCACGGTCAGACCTCTCAATAGACCAGTAGGAAGCAGAGGCTGACATGTGGCTCCTGCAGACACGTAACCATCTAGATCGGTGTGCATGACTGCACACCTTGCTTTCCCAAAGAACATTTTCCTAAGGACATTTCCGGACCTGCTATGAGTCTGGAAGGCAGTCTGCTGTGCTCTCCCAGTAGCAACAAGGCCTGAATGACAGACCCTTTCCCACTCCAACTTAAGGGGTTAAAGAAGATCTGAAGTACTCGGGAGCCAGAGGCAGGCAGGTCTCTGAGTTTGAAACCCGCCTGATCTACGAAGTGAGTTCCAGCACAGCCAGGACTACACAGAAAAATCCTGTCTTGGAAAGAAATAGAAAAAAGGGATGCTGGATTTGCCCCCTGGTAGGTTTAAGACCTTGTTATGGGGAGAAAGTCATGGCCCAAGTCAGCCGTGGGTGTGAGCGTCAGCATTTCGGTGTGGTCCACTTCTTTGGAACTCGGAGCTGTCCTCTTCGCACTGCTGCTCTAGGTGTGAGGTTTGTCCAGCTTTTGGTGAGATTTTACAGTCTTTGGCTTCACACAGCAAAGCATGGTCCTTGAGCTTGTTTGTGCTATGTGTGCCAGGGGTGCCATGGCAGTGACTGGTGACCCCAAAATGCCACTGATCTTACTACCAGGTGCATTCAGACATTGATTCACCAAAGATACCTCCTGCATTAACTTAAGCCTTAAGACTTTTAAGTGCATTTGGTGCCAAAATTTTTCTAGCACTCTAGCAGAGCAAGAAACCCATTCTTAGAGTGTAATGCAATTTTGAAAGGAACATTTTGTTATTTGCAGAACTGGATATAATGATTGAATTAAGCTTAGCAGCCACAAAAAGATTGCTGATTCTCCTCCCGGGGGCGCCCTGCCAGTCTGGGCATCTGGGCCCTGGAACATACTGTCACTGCCCTGCCTACCAATGTAATTTTAAGCCAATAATTAGCTGCCAAGTTCATCAGCCGCTGTTTTCTTGTTGGTGTTTGGGGGGAGGGTAGTTAGTAGAATCTAATGACCCATCCTGCATGTTGTGCTGTGGACAGTACTTCCATTTAAACCCTGTGTTTTGGACTTTCCAACTGATAATTGGGACTTAATAAATTTATTACTATTATAAATGTAAGTGGAAATCAAAGGTATGGCAGAATTTTCTATTTTTGTTTTGTTTAGAACATTTCTCCTGTTGCTGTCAGGGTAGAGTATTTCTGGATTCAAGATACAATCAACAAAAGCAAAAATAAAATAAAGCATAAAAGGTAGCCAAATGAGGAAAATAATCCAGAAAGGGCTTTCTATTCTTGTTTGTGTTTTAACCTAAGAAAAGAGTAATGCTCTCTTCAGAATAAGCCATGCTGGACTAGGACTGGTCTCTAAAAAGACAGCTTGTCAATAAGTGTTTGGTCCAAATTACAGAATTTGTTGACACAGGCTGACAAAAATTTTTAAATAAATATGGCAAAAACATTGAGGTGTGTGTAAGAATAGTGCTTCTGACGTTGAAATCTTGGGTTTTACAGTGTATACTTCTTTTCCAAGAATTCTTCCTTTGTTCATCTTACTGTCAGAGGGTAACAGGGCAGGCAACAGAACGTTTTAGCAAACAGTCATGATGCACCTCACAAGCTAACACTTTCCAGACACACACACACACACACACACACACCTTTTGAAACTTGGGGTAGTTGTGTACATTTCTAAACTACTAGTGCCATGTGTTCCTCCGCCTCTGATTTAGAGCTAGCTTTGTGAAATGCCAGCATTGAAAGCTCTGGAAAGTCAAGCCTAAGCACAAGCCTTTAACCGTTACCGTGTTTAAAGAAGTGCAAGCTTTGCTGAAGGGGCTGCTGAGAGCAGTGCAGGCCCTCGGGGAGCAAACGTCACACTGTTTTCAGAATTCTGCCAAGTCAAACACAGATGGGTCATGGTGATGGGGACTGAGAATCCATGCACACTTGTAGCTGCAGAACCCATCTGCGGACTGAGTCCATCCAATGTGCACATCTGGGCTAGAGAGTTAGCCACACCATTACCTGCCACCTAAATAAAAAGTAATGAACAATAACTCAAGATAACAGATTTGTCTTGGGGCATTTTAAATGGCATTGAATTTGATACTTAATTTCTTATTTGACATGGGTCTCACTATATAACTCTGGCTACCCTGGAGCTCTTAATGTAGATGAGCAACTCACAAAAGTCTTCCTGTCTCTGCCTCCCCAATGCTGAGATTAAAGGCATGTCCCTGGCTTGTTAAACTCTGTGTGTGTGTGTGTATTCATACATATATGAATATCTTTCAAGAGCCAGGTGGTAGTGGTGCACACCTTTAATCCCAGCATTCAGGAAGCATAGACAGATCTGTCTCGAAGAAACAACAAAAGCAAAAGAATATCTTCCAAGATTGTAGTGCTGATCAGTGCAACTATTCAAGTGTGCAAAGTAACAGGATGTTTTTCCTGTGCAGACGTTGTGCACAGCCTGTCACTCATTAACAGACACTGACTTGTTGCCATTGAGTAGATTTGACTTGTATGTGCTCTATAAAGGCTTTTTGTAATGCTTTTCTTGAGATTGTGATTTTCCACTCACTGAATAATGGTAAATTTGATGTATTTTATAGTCTATGCGTTTTCACTTAAGCTGCCTGTAGTGTGGTTTGAGACACGTTTGTACTATGAACTGTAAGAAATGGAAAATTCTAGGTTTAATCATCTGCTGCTGTATTTGCAAAGACAAAGTTGCTTAAAGAAGTAATTATAATTAGAAGTAGGTTACAGATGTGATACTTGATATTTTTAAGGTAAAGTTGTTTGTTTTTGTGTATAATACCTGAAAACCTTCTTAAGAAATGTGTTTTCATGATTTCACAGTTTCTCCATGTATTTTATTCCTGGGGCCCAATTCTAGGCTTCCCTAAAAAGTCCAGAGCCCAGTTAACTTTCTGTTTATAGTCCTAAAGAAAACAAGGGCCTGTAATACCTGCATTCTCTAAGGAATTCCACCAGTCTGCCTGGAAAGAGCCTTGCTCCCTAAACGTCTTCAGCCAAAGATGCCAATACCTGTAGTGAGGACCTCCCCCAAGGCTAGGCCACTCTATAACCAGGTTATCTCTCCCTGAAGTCAGGGAGCCATCTCTCCACCCCTGTGGCCACCACCCAACTCCTTTTGCTCTGTCACACATGTGGTGAGGGTCACTTTAAGCCTAATGAGGTTGAGTCATGGGAGTTAGCCAGCCTTACAGCTACCGTGTAAGTGGGCTAAGAGTGAGAATTTTGGAAAAGATTGCAGCCTTTTACCCTTTAGGGTTGTTTCTGATATTCTGTATGCCTGAAAGTGCCCACCTAAATAAAATAGAGCTAAGAAATAGTGAAATAGAAATGTAAGACAATCCTGAGGTAGGCCCAGGTGGTTGATTGGCTTTCTCATTTTGAAATGACATTGCTCTACAAATATATGCTAAGTTTTTTTGGCCTGGCTGGTCCTTTTTATCACCATACTAATACTCTTAACTGTTCACCTCTCTGCTTTAGTGGATGTCTAAAGCAAGATTGAATCCTAACATGACCACATTTATTCAAATATGACACACACAATAGAATCTACTATCAGGAGAACTATGTGCGCCGTCCTGTGAAGTTTATTTCTGTGGTATTTACATGTTTTCTTTATTTTTACATTTATTTTATATGTATGTGTGAGTGTGTCTCTGGATGTATGCTGTGGAAGCCAGAAGAGAGCATCAGATCCCTGAACTACAAGTGTTTGTGAGCTACCTGACGTGGGATCTCTGGAAGAGCAGCAAACATTCTTCATCACTAAGCTCTCTCTCCAGCTGTTCTATGTGTTCTCTTAAGTGAGCAGATTAAGCCATTTTTTCTGATACTGGTTTGTGGTGGAAAAAAGTGCTTACACATAAGTTGTTCAGAGTTGGGGGGACTGTGCCACCCTAAGTTGTGAAAACGGACATTGTACACTACACTGACTACTTCCTGGTTGAGATTTGCCTGAATCCTACTTGCAGGTCCTAGAAATGGTGTGATAGACTCTTAGAATATACAGGTTTCTAGCCCTACTGAAGTCTTGACTTTGGATAAGCTGTAAGGAAGCTAAGGGATTGAGAAGATCAGGGGAGGGGTGGAATAAAGCTCTTAACACCCCAGCATGAGGACGATCTGAATGTGAATCCCTAGGACCTATAAAGCCAGGGTGGTAATGCATGCTGGGTAAGCTCATCAAACCTCCTGAGATGCAGGAGGATTCCTGGAAACTTGTGGGCCAGCTACCCTGGGACACACAGCAGCAGGGAGGCACAAGAGGCTGTTCAAGGTGGTGGACACCCAAGGTTGTTCTCTGACATGTCTACATGTGCATCATGACAAACATACATTCACACATGAATGCATGCACACAGAAATAAGGCATCGGAAAATTTAAGTTATTACTGTGTTTGTATTGTCTTTTTAAGCCTCATGTAACAGTTATTTAGGCTAGTGTTGCTTAAAGATGGTTTAAGGTAGTTTTAAAAGGTAGCTTCTTGGGAGCTGGAGATGGCTCGGTAGTTATGAGCCCTGACTTCTCATCTGGAAGACCTGGTTCAGTTCCCAGCACCCACATAGCATCTCACAACTGTCTAACTCAGGAGATCTGATGTCTTCTGACTTCTGTGGGTACCAGGCACAAAAATGCAGGTGAAACATCCATACACATACAAATAAATACATGCTTAAAAGAAGGGGGTAGCTTCTCTTTAGAGATAAGAAATCAAGTTTAGAAGAAGTTAGGTAAAACCTCAAGGCCATCCCTCATCCCTGACGCTTTCCTGTCAGTGAGACAGCCTGTCCACTGAGTGTGCCATACTCATCTATGCCCTACACTTCCATATGGTTCCTTCATGGCCAGTCTAGCTAGACCTCTGCCATGAGCCATTCTGTCTTGGTTTTGACCTCTTAGTGTATCCTGAATAGGTGCCAGAGCTCTGGGGAAGCTTTTCAAGGAAAAGGCTCAGCTCTAACGTTTTGAGATGAAGAGGCCAGAGACAGTGGTGCTTCCTCCTATCATCCTACTTCTCTGCTGAATTTCCTGGGAGCTAATGATAGCTCTCTCTCTGCTATTCATATCTCTGGTTATTCTAGCACCTTGGAAGAGAATACCTCCGCTACAGTTTGCATGAATGATCCCACTTTGCCCCACAAATGAAGACGAAAGGTTTTTATCTCCATTTGATAGATGAGAAAACTAAGGCTGGTCAGTGGTAGAGCTCTCACAGACCTTGTGTTGTAGCTGGAAGTTTTCCTGTGTCCCGCCCAGTCCCGCAGCCACTCAGACCCAAGTAAACACACAGAGACTTATATTAATTATGAATGGGATGGCCTATGGCTCAAACTTCTTGCTAGCTAGCTCTTAGAACTTAACCCATTTCTGTTAATCTATAAGTTGCCATGTGGCTGTGGCGTTACCAGTCAGCTGGCATTTTGCTGCTCCTTGGGTGGTGGCTGGTGTCTCCCCTTACTCTCCTATCTCTCTTGGATTTTCCTACCTGGCTCCATCCTGCCCTGCCATAGGCCAATGGAACCTTATTTTATCAACCAATCAGAACAACACATTCACAGCATATATGGGAAGATATCCCACAGGACTGTTGTGGGGCCAGGATTAGAGTCTTCAAAGACTGCCCTAGTAGAATGTTGTTTTCTACAGAGTTTCTCTGTGTTCCATGTCCCTGCCTTGACTGCCTAGTGCTGTCTTCTTACAGAACTCCACAGGAAGTCAAGTCCATCTAGTATCGGTGAGTGTTGGGTAGCATGTTCGGCACACATTCCTTCTCTGGGGTTCACTGATAGTATGAAAGGGCTGGTTTTAGAAGTGTATAGTGATTTGCAGTGCTTCACATACTGATAGAGAATCAAAGTTGTATTTATAAAGGCAAGTCATGCTCTAAGGCGTCAGTATTGAACAGCATTTAAAATGTGGATCTGAGAACAGCTTACGAAAGGCAACAAAGGGTCAGACCCGCTAGTTCAAGTCCAGTCTGTAGTCAGCAGTTCTTAAAGCATAAGGTATGCAGCTGTGGTAACTGCTAGGCCAAAGGTGATGGAGTGGCCGGACAGAAGACCTGGCAGCAGATGGGCAGCCTAGTGGAGGGTGACTGGACTGGAGGAGACAGTTCTGCCACTTGGCCCAGTGATGATTCTTTTCAACTTGCCAGTGCAGGACATGGTAAATAAAGACGCCTTGAGCACTAAATTCAGTCAGTTCCTGCATTCCTTCTCAGATGCTTCAAGAGATTGGTACCAGAAGCTAAAACAGGAAAGTCCAAATACATGACAAGTTATTAGGACTTGGGCTTTTTAGAAGGGGCCTCAGGTGAGGTTCTTGCCAGTGAGGTAGTGACAGATGTCTTCCTCTGGTGCATCCAGTACAGATTGGACAGATTCCAAAAGGCGGCCCTTTTTGATGCAGCAAACTTCCTAACTGCTGAGGACACGGACTGGGTTTCTTTCAGACTTTGAGCTTTGGGGTGATTTGGAGCGATTGACCGGCTTCCTGTGCACTTTACCTTATCCATAAGACAGTGTCCACAGAACTGAGAAGGAAAAGGTGGAACATTATTCCCTCTAGCCAGAGATCGGGTTGCTGTGTTAGAATAACCAAAGTAATGTATGTCTAATACGCTACGTGTCATATTAGATAAAATTAGGTTGTGCTTGTTAAAATGTACATACCTGTCAAACACTAAGCATGCACTCTAAGGAAGTGATCAGACATGCCTCTTAGCCTGGAATAATTCCAAGCATAATTATTCATCCCACCCTCTACCTCTGCTTTGCATTCTCAAAGGCATCTTCCTTTTGCTGGGGCTGTAGTTCATAAGTGTGAGGCCTTGGCTTCAATTCCTAGTACTAGAGAGAAAATTATTTCTGGGTTGGTTTGTTTGTTTTTGGTTTTTTGTTTGTTTGTTTTGGTTGGTTTGGGTCTTGGTTTCATTTTTGTTTTTTAAAGACAGGGTCTCACTGTGTAGCCCTGGATGTACTGGAGCTCACTATGTAGACCAGGCTGGCCTCGAATTCACAGAGATCTGCCTGCCTCTGCTTCCCAAGTGCTAGGATTAAAGGTATGTGCCATTATGTCTTATGCCCAGCTGAAAAGCATCCTGTTAAGAATTAGTTTTAGTGTTATCCTAAGTATAGCATGCACACATTCAAGCTCACTCACTCTCACACACACATAAAAAATCTACACATCCAGTGTAGATTGTTTCGTGTTCATCTTGGAAGAAAAAATGCCCCTCCAACCCAACACACGTATAAGCATAGAAACTAACCTTCACTTAGTATATATTAGGATGCTATTCGATCTGCTGAGTATAAAACTGAAGAAAAATATCCAAGTCATGCTTTGCAGCCATGTTCTCAGTAACTCACTGGCAAGTAAAGTATATTCCAGTTGAGAAGCAGACTCAGAAGCCATACGTGTTAGAATAGACAAGCTATATAGAGAAGGGTGGCTTGAAATGAGGGGTGGGTAGGAGGTCCCAGTTTTGATGGGTATCTGTCCCTCCAAAGCACCTCGTGTTCTCAGTTATGTCTTTTTTTTTTTTTCCCTCACAAGTTAATGTAGATTTTCTTTGTCCTATACAACCTGGAACAATGACCACATTTCTTGGCTCCTGGTGACTACCGCACACAAATGTGGCCCAATGTGTGGTCAAATACCTTCTGCCTTCCTCCAGCCCCGAGAGTGTTTGTTTGGAACTAAGAGGAGAGGCACTGTAGAGTTACTCCACAGGACCTCTCAGTGGCAGGGAATAAACAGCAAAGGCCTGTCACGATGCCTCAGAAGTGCCTGCTGGCTGGAGTAGGAGA